ACGCACGCACTAACTAGCACGCACGCACACACACAAACTTGCACACACGCACGCACACACAAACTTGCACGCACGCACGCACACACACACACACACACACACAAACTTGCACGCACGCACACACACACACAAACTTGCACGCACGCACGCACACACACACACACACAAACTTGCACACACTCACACACACTCGCACATATGCACTCACACACTCACACACACACACACGCACACACGCACGCACGCACACACACACACACACACATTTGCACACACACACACACACACACACTCGCACATACGCACACACACTCGCATGCACACACACACACACACACTCGCACACACACACACACACACACACACACACACACACACACACACACACACACACACACACACACACACACACACACGACGGTGGAGGAAGAGAACAGATGGCGTGATCTTCAGGGTGAAGCAGCAGTCATGACATCCAGAACCTCTCACGAGCTCCGACACGTTCTGGTGCACTTTCACATTTTAGGAACAGAGCTGTATTGATCCTCACTCTCATCACCAGCGGTCATCTGGGAGTCACAAGACGTTCACCTTTTGCTGAACATAGCTCAGGCTTGTCTGTTTTTTCTCATCGGCCTGTTTGCAGAGTCAGATGAACAAACGTACGACTGAGTAACGGAAACCACCTCCGAACCAACTCTAAGTGTCTGCCTGGTCTGCTCTGCGGTTAAAGTCGCGGTATTCCTTGTTCTTCTTTACAGGACAACATGCCGCAGACTCCACCTTTCCCAGGCCAGCTCAACACGGGCGGCTTCAACAACAACGTGTACCCGAGCACCACGGAGAGCTCCCCAGGCCTGTACTATCAGGACAACAACCTGGTGTCCGGGTCCCTGGAGGCCCTCATCCACCACCTGGTTCCCACCGTGGACTATTATCCAGATGTGAGTGCCGCTTTTTTCCTAAATCCATGGTGGTTTTGGTTCCTTTGCACTCAGATCAGAGTTAGACGTAGAACCTTTTGCTTCGGTTGTGGGTGAGACTGCTGCTTTTATTTTCTGCGTTTGTGGGTTTTTTCTTCCCAGCGTGCACCAGGGACACACGCACCATCTGACTTTTGGTTTGACTTGGTTTTCAAAGCTTTTCTCATGTCAGACATTTTATTTTGGTTTGTGCAGAGGACGTACATCTTCACCTTCCTACTCAGTTCTCGTCTCTTCATCCATCCGTATGAGCTCATGTCTAAGGTGCACCACCTGTGCACAGAACAACAGCGACTTGGCGACCCTCAAGCTGACAAGGTATCTGGATTCGTGCACCTGCAGCTCTGCTGACCTTTCTTATCCTAGTTTCCTCATTTTATGCTTCTGATTCCAGCTGAGACTGAAAAAGATCACTCCAAAGATCCTCCAGCTGCTGACGGAGTGGACGGAGACCTTCCCATATGACTTCAGGGATGAGAGGATGATGCGCAGCCTGAAGGAGCTGACCCAGCGGCTCACCGGTTGGGACGAGGTCAGACGTTAACACGTTCTCGTAGATGCTCTGATGCCCGTCTGCACAAGCAGCAGAGCAAACGCGACGCTGGGCCTAGGTGGGTTTTGTTCTCAGTGGACTGCTCCTTTTTAGGCAGCACTGGGATTGTCCCTGGACCAGTCCGCCGCTGGCCTCAGCAGCTCTGCTGGATGTAATGAATTAGATAACATGTTATTTAATGAGCCATAAGGCGTGGGATTCCATAGGAAATATGAAATCCACCTTACGGATCTGTGAGTTATTTAAACCAGAAGATTGGATCTTTTTATTGCAGGGATTAGATAACCGCTTCGTATTCACTCACAGACAACAGAAGAGAGAGTCAAGTTTAAAAGTTAAGAATTTTATTTCTAACAAATTAAACTAGACTGACTTTAAAACTAAATGTATGGTGTAACTAAAGTGGATGAGACGGTGAATCGATGACGTGCGATGTTAATCAGAACCAGCCAGTCTACATACTCTGAGCGGAAGTCCCCGTCTAGATCAGGAGGTGTAAAGGTCCAGCTTGACCTTTTGGAGCCGGAGCCTGTAGGAGAAGCCACGGAAACCGACCACCCGTCCTGGGATACGTCCGGGTCACGGCAATTTGTTGGCGTCTGGTGAGACCCCAAGCCTGGGTCTTGATGGTTCAGCTTTTATTCTGAAAGGAACTGTTGCCGCAGTTGGTATAGCGAAGAATGTTTCAGCTTGTCGTTGGTTCTTTCGATTAAAGAGTTAAAAGATCAGGATCGCCACTCCGTCACTTTCTCTGGAACGCTTTGAACTGGCGTTAGAGATGACGTGGCATAGTTTTATACTTCGGATGTTTTGGTTTATGGTCGAATGAAAAATTACCAAACACCATCAGAACCACGCCTCCGTCAGAACTGTAATATTCTGATTGGATCAGTGAAAGTAATGTGTTCTGTCTTTTTAACGCTACGTGAAATGAGTCCTGTTGGAACACTTAAAGTCATAGTACTTATTATATTCTATAGGATCATAATAAGGTAATGAATATTTTGATTTCACAGGTCGGTCACATCTTATTTATTGACTAACACTTTGATGGATTAGCTTTATTAAAATAGAGTTCTTTGATTAATTAAAAGAAAAGAGTTCATTCTTCGTTCTTCTGTTGAGCTGAAAATAAGCAGGTCAGAAGGAATGCATGAGACCTTGAGACCATATCTCATGCAGACAGGGGTGGACTGGGACCAAAATTCTGCCCTGGCATTTTTACGAATCGTCGGCCCCAGTCGGCCTTCCCATTGGGAGAGCGGTGGAGGTGGGGGGTGTTGCCGCCCGCGGACTCGTCTCTAGGCCGAATGTGAGATCTAATATGGACTGGGACTGTTAAATTACAAGCAGGACCAGACCGCTGCGACCGGGAGCCCTGGCCTTCCAGATCAGCTCATTCTCCACGGGCGGAGATCAGCGGGAAATTAGCTACGTGCTAATGTGGTAAAACAACTCCTACGTCATTGCTCTACCACATTTTTCTTGCTAAAAACGCCTGGAAAAACTCTGTTAGCCTCGTTACCATGTAGCTAATGTTCTGCAGATCACCAACTGTGGAGTAGTGTCAGCCCAAGCTGGGCAAGCAGCCCCCTTGGCTAAGCGGCCCACCGGGACAGTGCCAGAATTCCAGATAGGCCAGTCCACCCCTGCATGCAGACTAGTCTTGAGCAAAGAAGGGAAAAAACAGTCACTCCGTTCCGTTACATGGATAAATGTTGCCTCTGTCACCTTTAGGAAGCCTGCTGATCCTCCGCTTTCAGGTGTTTGCAGCCAGGAAGGGTGTAACAGGCACCAACGTGTTTTTCTTTTTACTCAACAAAGTAAACAGTGAAAGTTGTGTTTACTGGAGGGGAACACCTCATCGTTCCAGCAGGTAGACGGGAAGTCCGGCCTCGGCTCGGAGCGTTACTTTTAGTTTTCCTTTTAAAATGAAACTCAGCCGCGCGGTTGTTGTGTTTCCTCATGTCGGATTATCATCTAGATGTTTATTTTTTATTGTCTTTCTTTCCATCGATTCATGTTTTGAGCCTTTAATTCAAAGGAATGAAAGCAGTTAGGGTTCAAATGTGGGAAAGTCATCCTTTACATAAAACTAAAACTGGTATCAAACAGCTTTTTAACGGCCTCATGCTTCTTATTTCAGTAGGTTTCTCACTTCGGTGCACGTTTCAGCACTACATAGTCTATATATAGCACTGTATTAAAGTATTTTATCACTGCGTAAGACCTCCCCGCTGTTTTAACGGCAGCTCCACACCAGTGAAGCCCCAGCGGTCAGAACAGCCGTAGTCGTTCAGCGTGATGGAAAAGCCAAAAAGCGGTTCTTTCTCTCAGGTTCTGCTCTGATTGGTCAGATCCACTCCTCGCTGAAACCAGACCAGAGCCCAGAATAGATGCTCTGAACATCTGTCCAAAGTTGTGTCCAAACCAGAGAAAGCATTCCCAGAGCTGGATCTCAGCAGAAGGACTGTCATTATGGATAAATGTGGTCTGGTGGGATAAATACGGAAGCAGCAGCTGGCATCCTGGTTTCTCCTCCTTTACAGCTGCAGCTTTTATTTAGCATCAAGTTTCATTATAAAAATATTAGAGTGTAGTTCATTTCTAGAAGGTGACATCCTAGATGTCCTTGTGTGAATGCATCCTGGTACCCACAGGCTGTTTTGCAGATTCCTGCTTTCAGCCCCCCGGCCCTTCAGGGCTCTGCTGGGCGAACGGCCCGTTCTCAGGTCAGGTGGTGCTCCTCTCAGCCATGACAAACAGAAGCCCACTCCCAGAGTGGTCACTAGCACTGAGCATCATCTGCCACCTTGAGAGGGTTGGGCATTGTGGACCTCCTGCTGGGCTTCGTCCCTGGAGATGTGCTGCTATATTTATGCGACCCCGGCCGGCATGGGAGTGCAGACAAAAGCAGCAGCAGATGGTTGGAGTGTGGCGCGTTTTATCTGTGGTGCAGCTCTGCAGGAGCACAGGCTGGAGCGGTTCTCTAGCTGAAGCCCGGATTAGATGACACGAAGTCTTCTCTGCTCCGGCTTGTGTGGACGGCTGCGTATGAGATGAAGCTCAACGTTCTGAATGTCTAATGTTTCTTTCTCCCTCTCTCCATCCATCAGGTGCACAAGAAGGCCATCAGCCAGATGAGCCAGGGCCTGATCCGGAGGCTGACTGTGCTCAGCCAGTTCGAGGAGGCGCTGGTGAAGATCAACGCCACAGCCACGGAGCGGCTCACGGCTCTGAAGGCCAAACCTCAGGCAGCGACCCAAAGGGACCTGCTGTCCATCTGCAACGACCCCTTCACTGTCGCCCAGCAGCTCACCCACATAGAGCTGGTGAGTCTCTTCTCTGTCGTGCTGTTTAACATGCTTTAACTGGTCCGAGAAGGATGGATCCACCAGCACGCCTGTCCCTCACACTCCCATCGGCGTGGGTCGGGACCAGATCCACACCAGGAGGCGGGTCCACGAGGAGAGGAGGACAGACTTGACATGTTTGATGGATCAGAAATCCAAAATCGTGTCTGAGCGTCTGCAGCATTGATCTTAATCGTGGTGTTGGACTACTGCAACCATTAAGTTCAGCAGGAGTTTGAAGGCTCTGCTGCAGAGGGCTCGGATTCAGGAACTTTCCCTTTCTCTCTCCTTTCCAGGAGCGGCTGAGCTATATTGGGCCTGAGGAATTTGTTCAAGCCTTCGTCCACAAAGACCCTCTGGACAACGAGAAGGTAGAGTCTGCCTGCTTTTCTAGAACCGAACCGAGTCCCGTCTCCGTGGCTGAGCCACTCTCGGCACATCTGATTAGTCTGTCTGGAATGGAGACAGACGCAGAGTTTACACAACATGGTGACGGTCTGCTGCTCGGGTCAGAGCCAGGCCAGGTGCCTCCGGACAGCAGCAGCAACAGACTCACACACACACACCTAACCGGCAATTTCCTCCAACCACCCTGCTGTCTGGATTAGGCGAGCATGTGTGCTCCTCATCTCTTAGCAACTGCTGCTGCAAAGGGTCCACGTTGGGAAAGGGCGGGGGGCGTGTTTGGGCAACAAAGCTTCTGTCTGGCGTTTTGTTGCTAGGCAACAAGCCTTTAAAGTTAGGGGAGCTGAAGGCTGTCTTTGTGCTTGTAGGCTAGTTCGCCTCGTACCCCCAATGTGTGTGTGTGTGTGTGTGTTACGTCCCCGACAGGAGATGTTAAAATGTGAAGGAGGGGGTAACATAAGAAATATGACAGTGGAGTTTGAAATGGTTTTATTTGTAGTAAAAGGTTCTAAAAACGAGCAAACAGATGGCGCGCATTATAAAGATAATGCAAAAACAAACAAAACTCTCAAAAAGGTTAACATTACAAGGCGAATGATCAGCTATAAAAACACCTGGTAAAAACTTATTAAAAGTTTTACTGCAACGAAGGTGTTTAAAAACCGGAGTCAATGAAATTGCAACAAACAAAGTTAACCTTTAACACAAACATCAAAAGATCCCATTGGGTCATCCAAAAGCTCATCACTAAGAGTTAAAACTGTAAAGTTAAAACTCATCGAAACGAAGGGGTTGAAACCAAAACGAGACCTGGAGGACAGCAGAACCCCTGCACTGCTGAAGGCACAGCCTTTTTATCCAGGTGTTGGTGATCAGCAGGATTGGGCTCAGCTGTGCTCCTCAGCAGCCTGGAAGAGAGGAGGAGGAGGGGCGGAGTCAGGCTGATCACCGGGGTGATCCTGGCTCCTGGATCTCACTGGCCAGACTGGTAGCCTAGTGTGTGTGTGTGCGTGTGCGTGTGCGTGTGCGTGCGTGCGTGCGTGTGTCCAGTGGCAGGAGAGCTGACTCGGGGGTGAATAGCGTAAGGCCAGAGGAATGTGTGGAATGAGATCAAGAGGAATCCACAAAAAGGACCAGTATAGCTACATAATGGGAACACTGGCCTCGTGCTCTTCTGAAGACCATAGGACGCCTAAAGCTCGGTTTATACTTGACACGTCTGCGAGGTCCGCACGGCTCCGCGTGGCCAAATTACGTCATTTTAGCATCCACGCCCCTCCGTGTGGCCTCCGCGCAGCACAAAGTTCACGGACCGCAATCCTAGGAAATTTTCTGTCCACGTGGACGCTCCTGCACGGAAAAACGTGGCGGACTGGCAAGCGCTCACAGTGGCGGAGGTTCGTAAGCACAGACATCTTTACGATTCTGTCACAGTCAGAAAAGACAAGGACACGGTGAAAGAATGTTAACAACAGTGATTTCTGCTTCTGCCGTGGTGTAGTGTTGTAGGCATGCCGCAGGGCCTGTGCCGCCCCCTACAGCCTGGGAGAATATTGGCTCACTGCAGAGACCAGAGGGTAGAAAGGAACCATAAACGCTGCAAGTTCCGACACGCGCTCCATCTGCGGGTCTCGTTTCCGCGCAGGATGTACGTGCGTCAAGCATAAACCGAGCTTTAGGCTCCTCCCTTTCCGGTCGGCTCACAAGTCCCTGGAAGAGCGAAAAAAGGAAAGCAGGTCAACGGGCTAAAAGATCATTTTGTAACCCATTTTGCCCTAAGCCCTGGATCGGACGTGTGCTATACCGACGCCGGTCACGTACTTTGAGATTTATCAGCTTGTAAAAGTTCATAATTAGCATGACTACAAATCAGACGTTGGTACGTTGCATATATGATGTCACCACATAAGCTCCTCCCCCAGCATAGCTGCTACTCACCACATGACCAGATTTATGGTGGTTCTTTCCTCCTGTGGGAAGGTTGCTGAACTTCCAGCCCCTTTTCTCTCAGTTTTCTCCGTGTCTGATTCGATGACGTCACTTTGGTGAAACGCATTTGAAGTCCTGGACTTATTTTCACCAAAAAAAAAAACCTAAAATATCGTTCCCCTGTTAGAAAATAAGTCCGTTCTTGGTATCAAAATGTGTCTTTAAAATTCACGGACATCATGTGTGAAATCCACGGCACAAAACAAGCGGATTATAAAATAGAGTTTTTGGTCCCGTTGACTTTTATTTTGTTGTTCTTCTGGGTACCCGTGGCCCGGAAGTAGATGGGCGGGACTTCAGCTCACTACCTCGCTCCACTCAGACAGGAGTTTGTGATGTTGTGCAGATGTTAAAACCTTGAAATGAAAGGATGACCTGACATGACCTACAACCCTCATCTTGGCTGTACTCAGCTTTGCCTTCTTTCCACATGTTGGTGCGTTGTTTGCTACAGCGCCACACACAGGACTGGCATAGTCACTGCATCATGTAGGTTTTAATGTGAATGAAAACGCACCGAATCCAGAAGATGCTGAACATGAAAAACTCCGTTAGGAACGGCGGTCTCCTTGCTTTGCTCTGGATCAAAAGCTCATGCAGATGTTTTGGTTTGTAGCTGGCTGATGAAGTGTGTTTTTGCAGAACTGCTTCAGTGATCACAAGAAGGCCAACAACCTGGGAGCTTACGTTGACTGGTTCAACAGACTCAGCTATCTGGTGGCTACAGAGATCTGCATGGTGAGTAGCTCTGCCACCACCAGAACACACATCAAACCAGCAAGAAGAAGAAACGATCTTTTATGAAGCACCTCTCTAGATAAAATCACGAGGTGCTCACAAGGACAAAAGTTCAAATTAAAAAATGATTAAAAAACATCATAAAAATGGGAAATGTTTACATTTGTGATAAAAATGTGAGAAAATGAATATGAAAGAGGTATCAGTGTGGATCTCTGGAGAGGTTGTATTGGTAGAAAGAGCAGAACAGGGAGAGGGAGGTGATGGAGGTCCCACCAAACCTGAACAGGTGAGTTTAAAGGAGATCCCTGAGTCCACTGATCTCAGGCTCAGGGGAGAGATTAGCTTCCCCGCTTGTTATTTCAGTTAAAAAGGATGAAAACGTTCTAGGAACACTCGACCTTCTCTGATGATGACCAGACACGTCCCAGAGCAGCAGTAGAGCTCCATCCAACACGTTGACCAGAGCGCTGGGTTGGTCTTCAGGCCTAATCCAGGGAGTAATGAGATCCTTTGTTTTTTTTTAACAGCCTGTGAAGAAGAAGCATCGAGCTCGAGTCATGGACTTCTTCATCGACGTGGCGCGAGAATGCTTCAACATTGGCAATTTTAACTCCCTCATGGCCATCATCTGTGAGCTGGTTTTTATTTCTGAGGTCTTTTTAGCCTTATTCACCCAACGATGTAACACAACACCACGTTAGCAATAGCTGTCATGGTGGATGGTGCATTTGTAAAGCACCTTGTTAGGGCTCTACAACCCCCCAAGGCGCTTTACAACACAACCAATCATTCACCCACCCACACACTGGTGGGGATGAGCTACGATGTAGCCACAGCTGCTCCACCAGTCCCTCCGACCACCACCAGCAGGCAAGGCGGGGTAACGTGTCTTGCTCAAGGATACAACAGCAGCATTCTCTGGTCAGAGCCGGGATCCAACCTGCAACCTTCTGATTACCGGACAACGCGCTCTACCTCCTGAGCTACTGCCGTTCCTTAGTTAATCAGCTGCTGCTAACAAAGCTAACATCTTAGCGGGCAATAACAGAAAAGCTTGAGATTATCACCGTGTGTCACACTGAAAAGGGTCCCACTGGAAACAGCCCTTAAACGGATTTTTGTCTTTCTGACTGAACTAGCTTTCAGGAGATTTTATCTATCTATCTATCTATCTATCTATCTATCTATCTATCTATCTATCTATCTATCTATCTATCTATCTATCTATCTATCTATCTGTCTATCTATCTATCTGTCTGTCTGTCTGTCTGTCTGTCTGTCTGTCTGTCTGTCTGTCTGTCTGTCTGTCTGTCTGTCTGTCTGTCTGTCTGTCTGTCTGTCTGTCTGTCTGTCTGTCTGTCTGTCTGTCTGTCTGTCTCTCTTTCTCTCTCTTTCTCTCTCTTTCTCTCTCTCTTTCTCTCTCTCTCTCTCTCTCTCTCTTGTTTCTGGTGCAAGTGTTTATTTCCAAAGCCTTGCGTCCATTGCTCCGGTCACCTCACATCCGTGGTTCCTCCTCCTGCTCTCCACAAACATTAACCGCTGAAGTTCACTGGGGGCCCAGCCGACACCCCCGAGTAACCCACTGACCATCTGCATTTACAGTCAAGTCTATCTGCTCACTCTCACAGCCCGCAGGCCAGCGGAGAGCTGTGGAAAAACGGGGGCGGGGCGTCGCTGCTACCGGACTCAGAACAAACCCATGCAAGCAGATGGTCAGCACTGACCAGAGAGAGTCGGAGCACAATGGAGGAGGAGGGAGAGGTAGTGAGGAGGGGGCAGGACAGAGTGCCAGCTGTCCTCTGCCCATCTCCCCTGACGGAGAGAGTGCCACAGGCAAATGTGTCCACACCCGCCTCGTCCCCCAGGAGCTGCCGGGGTGAGACGTTAGTGCTGCTCTGAAGAGGCTTCCTCCCCCGAAAGCTCATGATCTCTCTAAGGAATACCCTTAGGATAAAAGGATGAACAGTATTTTAAAAGAATAATCAAAGAAGCTGAAACTTGAGCAAAAATCAAATTATCGATGTGTAGAGCGTAAAGATGACATCATCATTACAAATAAAATACTCATTTTGATGCAGATGCACATCAAACCTGTAAAACAACAACAAACATGCTGCCTGCACCCAAAAGGCCGTGATGTTACCGCCTAACAGCTGTTCACACACGCACACACACACACACACATACATACACACGCACACACACACAGCAGGATTAGTGTATGGGGAGCTGAGAGCTGGGAGGGGAACCGAGGCGAACATTAATCTCTGTTGTTCTTGAGCTTGTGTCATCACGCATCAGAGGGAGCGGCATGAGAAAAGGAGCGGGAGTACCAGGGTGACGGGGGGAGGGGTGTGTGTTTGCTTAGATGTGTGACGTCTCACTCACTATTTTTTTTTGTGTGCTCGCCTTGCAGCTGGGATGAACATGAGTCCCGTATCCCGGCTCAGGAAAACCTGGAATAAAGTCAAAACGGCCAAGTTTGACATCTTAGAGGTAAAAAGATTTTCTTAACATCTCTAAAGGATTGGTCCTGTCTGCCCCCCCCCCCCCCCCCCCCACACACACACACACACACTCTGTATCTTCCTGTCAGTCACCAGATCAGAGCAACAACGGACATTTGGAAAAGCTGAGACTGAAGCTCCTGAGGGTCTGAACGGTTCTGGTTCTGAGGCCCGGCTGCGACACGGATTCAGATAAAATAATCATTAATAGGATTTTTGTTAAAGAAAAAAATCGGATTAAGGTTTTGTTTTGCCTTCTCTGTGGCAGAGCGTCAGCCCTGGGAGTGGGAGGTCGGGGTTCAAATCCCGGTCGGGTCAGACCAAAGACTTTAAAAATGGGACCCAACGTCTCCCTGCTGGACTCTCAGCTTTAAGGGGTCGGATCGGGGGTTAAACCGCCAAATGGTTCCCGAGCGCAGCCGCAGCTGCAGCTCACCGCTCCCCACGAGGATGGGTCTCGTGCAGAGATGGAATTTCACCAGCGTGCGTTTTTGGACTTTAACTTTTCTGAAAATGTTGAGAATAAATAACTAAAATAATTCCACCTGCTCTCTGTTGTTTCATAAATGAAAGTGCAGGACAGGAGAAGCAAAAACGAAGAAGAAAATCTGGATTACAATCTGCCCAAAAAGAAAGGAGCACCTGCACCGCCTCGGGAGTAAAACATGGCAGCAAACAAACAAATTTCACAGCAGACGTGTTGATCTGACAGGTCCGTGTGGACGGAGAAGAGGGATTCCTGCAGCCAGGGTGACGTTTCGCATCGGGAAACCTGCTGGAAAACAGTTACCTGAATCCGACGGATATCTGAAATAACAGATCCGACTGGAAACTGACATGTTGTTCCTTCGTGTCCCACTAGAGACGATCTATTAGCTTCCTGCCTCTCCGGGCTCGATCCGGCTTCTGTTATTAGACGGCAGTCGCTAAACAAAACAGAGCTTCTTTTGGTTGGTACCAAGATCACCCTCTCAAAATGTGACAGTTTCTCTCTCACTGTTGATAAAACTTCAGTTTCCCCCTCTCCCCAGGTCTAGAGTCTGGGTGTCATCCTAGACAGCACACTATCCTTCCAATCTCACATCGGTAGCATCACTCGGTCAGCTTATTTCCATCTTCGTAACATTAATCGTCTTCGCCCCTCCCTTACCGTCCACTCTGCTTCTATCCTTGTCCATAGTCTGGTTACATCACAGGCCCCCCTCAGAAAACACCTCGGTAAGCTCCAGTTGGTTCAGAAAGCAGCAGCGCGCATCGTCGCTAAAACTCCCATCTCTCATCACGTCACCCCCATCCACAAACAACTCCACTGGCTACCAGTGCGCATCAGGATTAACTACAAGAGTCTCCTTCTCACCTTCAAGGCCATCCATAACCTCCTCCCTCACTACCTCACAGATCTCGTTCACATCGTCGCCTCGTCCCGTTCCCTCAGGTCCTCCTCCTCCATTCATCTCTCTGTGCCCTCCTTCCGTCTCAGCACCATGGGGAGTAGAGCCTTCAGCTGCACCGCTCCCAAACTCTGTAACTCCCTTCCCCCTCTCATCTAGAACATTAACTCATTCACAGAATTCAAAAAACAACTCAAAACTCTTCATAATCACATATCAGCTTTGAATTTTAGAGTGCCTTGTTTGTTGATGTTTACGTATGTTTACTTATTGAATGATTTGTGTTTTTATTCTGTACAGTGTCCTTGAGTGACCAGAAAGGCGCTTTTAAATAAAATTTATTATTATTATTAATAATAATAAACGTGATGAACATCAAAGTCTTTCTGTTTCGCCACGCTGACTCCGTCGCTTTCTCTCCACAGCACCAGATGGATCCTTCCAGCAACTTCTACAACTACAGGACCGCGCTGAGAGGAGCGATGCAGAGATCCCTCACAGCCAACAGCAGCAGAGAGAAGGTGAGCCCCACACAGATGACATCCCAGCTCTCCATGTAGGAAAGCGTCCAGACCTGGGAAAGTGGGTCAAGTCTGGGATGAAGCAGTTTCTGCTCCGCGGCCTCGTCCGGCCGCCAGAACATCAACAAAGTGTTTCAGAAAGACGGCCCAGACTCGTTGACATTTGGTGCATTCGTTAGAGGGGATCAGCTGGTGTTTGTACAACCAGCTGCTGAGCGAAGCGGCGCCACAACAAACTCTGCTGTTATGTAGAAAGTGCAGATTTAATCTGGCTCTTTATCTCCACGCCGCGTTCCCGTCGTGTTGACGCCATCAGCAGCCTCTCAGGGCCGGGACCCAGGCGGAGGTTGCGTAACGTCCGAGGGGACTCTTGGGCCGGGCTACATCTGGGTCAGGACACGAGGAGGGGCTCGGTTTCTTCCTCAGCAGCAAAATAAAAACATGACCGCCGGCCAGATCACATAGTGTTCTCGGATGCTTCTGGAGTCGCCCGCCCGGCGCCGACTCCTCCTCCGGCCTTTGAGTCATCCCACGGTGAATCTGGGCGATTCGCTAACGGAGACGGAATGTTCTGTCAATATCCGTCTGGCTCCTGGAGGGACGAGTTCTCGTTGGGAGCCCAAATATGCAAACATTCCAGGACAAGAGGTCATGAAATGGAAAGTTCCCAAGAAGTCTGGTATGTTCCTGTTGGTGACCTCTCCTTCTGGGAGGGTTGGAGGTTTGTTTACAAGCTCCTCAGACACCCAGGGCTCGCCGTCGCCGGATTCACCCACATCTGACCTTCGCTTCAGCCCGGAGGAGCGCCGCTTCAACAGGAAGACCTAAAACTTATGATTCTCCTGCTTCAAAACGATTTCACAAACTGCCAAAATCATCTGATTTTCAACAGACTTGTTGTGTCTGATGTTTTGGTTGCTTAGCAACGCTTCTCCGTAGCATTTGCCTGAAAGGAATGATGAGTTTTTCTGCCTTTAAGACCAGTTTTATTAGCTTCAGTTTTCTAATCGTGGTCAAAAGGCCCCGAGTCACGGCCTGTGCTGTTGTTAAACCCGAGAATAAAGAGGTGCCGTAGATGACGCCGTGTTGGGATGTGTTCTGTGTGATGCAAACCGTGAAAAACAGCTAAAATGTCTCGGATAGAAAGAGATTTCTTGTTAAAAGGGCTTTAAAGATGCTCCCGTCTGTCGTGTGTAAATTTAACTGACTAATCTTGTGCATCCACTGATCTTGCTGCCTGAAACGGCCGTCATCTGGCTCCGGCCCATCGACACACCACGTCCAGCTATGACGTCCTCATCCTTTCATTGCTTCTGGAAGCTGAACATGTATGTGAGCACATGCATGCCTGACCCCTCCCCCCCCCCGGCCTTGCAGAGGCCTGCTTCAATCACCCAGTTCCTCGCAAACAAACGGACAGAATCAGAAGCACACCTGTCCAAATCAACACGAGTGTGTTCTTCAGATTTAACCCGAGTGGAGACACGTCTGCAGCTGCTCCTGTTGGGTCTCTTAAAAGCATCATGAATGTTTAATGTGTGTGTGTGTGGGTGGGGGGGGGGGGGATGATATGAATAGGATTTGGTGTTTTTTAACTTCAGATCCTCTCTGCGGTCACCGGATTTACTGGGATGTAATGCGGATGAACCAGGAATCGCTGGGATGTGGTGTGGGTGAATTAATCCTCCTTCTCTTTCTGACATCCTCCAGATCGTCGTCCCGTTCTTCAGCCTGCTCATCAAAGACATTTACTTTCTTAATGAGGGGTGTTCCAGCCGCCTGCCCAACGGCCATGTCAACTTTGAGGTAAGAGTTCTTCTGGCACTCGAGGAGTACAGACGCTTCCCTCTTTCGCTCCCTTATCTTTTTTTCCCAAGTATAGCGTTGTTAATCTACATAACTAGAATTTAACGCTGTTGCTTTTCAGCTTTGCTAAATCCTGAGAAAGATCAAACTAATTGGCAATGAAACATATTATACATATATATATATATATATATATATATATATATATATATATATATATATATATATCTACGGATATTTATATAATCGATAGAAGTTCATACACCAACTGGCTTGGTCTGTATTTAATCAAAAGATTAATATTTAATTTAAGAGATTTAAATTAATAGAAAAAGTTTATTTATTAATTCAGAAGATCTAACGAGATCTTTGCTCGTTCAGTGATCAATATACACCACTCTGTGTTTTATTTCAATTCAATTGTATTTATATAGCGCCAAATCACAGGAGTCACCTCAAGGCACTTCACATAATAAACATTCCAATTCAGGTCAGTTCATTAAGCCAATCTGGAAAAATGTTTCCTACATAAGGAACCCAGCAAATTGCACTCGCTGGGGGAAACAGGACCCCCCCCCCCCCTTCCTATTGTAGTCTCATGTTATGTTGTGTTGTCTGAAGTCTGTTGCATATCTGTCTAGGGCTGCAACTAACGATTATTTTCATAGTCGATTAATCTGTCGATTTTTTTTTGATTAATCGGTTTGTTGTTTAGCTAGTCGATTAATCTGTCGATTATTTTTTTCGATTAATCGATTAATCTGTTTGTTGTTTAGCTATTTAACCTATACAAGTGATGAATACATTTCAGTTAAGAAAAAAAAAACATAAGAGAATTGTGCAGTTGACTGCAATCTATTTTATTGCACATGAACAGTCAGCAGTATAAAATGAGCTAAACAGTGCAAAATATCAGTCCAGAATCATTTTTTAGCATTAGCTGGAAGCCTGCTCCTTCCACCATGGATAGTGGCCTCATGTCTTTTACCAGCATGTTTAGAATAGAGTTTGTAAGTGGTATGAATTGCTGGGGGGTGAGTGTCTTGTTCCCCATGTAGTTGTCCATTGTTGCTTGTTTTTTTCTGCATAAGAAACACAAATAGACTGAAATAAGTACACATATAAAATAAAGCAGCACACACTACTAAATCAATATTATATTATTTGAATTAATTAACAATATACAGTGATCATTTATTTTGAGGGTTACGTTCTACAAAATAGCCCGCAACAGGAGATATTCAGAAAAAAAGTCTAATTTTTTTACTATTAAAAAGTTCTAAGTAAGAAGCTCATGAGGTTTTTACTTTGAGTCGGGAGTGTTTAAATTAGCTAGAGAAATGTGAAAAATGTTTATTTTGTGTAATACTGTTTAAGAAACATGATAAAAATGTGTTGTGAGGCGTTTTACAGTGTTAGATAGTAAAACAGCCTTTTAATAGTAAAAAAATGACTTTTTCTGAATTTCTCCTGTATTTAAAAATTGAAAGCGTACAACTATGCCGCTTTATATTCACCTGGACACAGCTCGTCTGTATATGTTTCACCGCAGAGTTGTCCTTTTTTGAATGAGTAACATAGTTATGGGTTTTTGCCATTTTTCTCTTAACGAGAACATTCTTATAAACAGACGTGCTAAATTTGGCAAGCGCATGATACACAACACGGAGGAGATTCACGATTGCATCTAGTCAGTCAGAAGTAGAACACCGTAGACTGACGCGGCAAAAAAACAAAACATGTTTAACATCCACTATAACGAACTCAGCTAAAACACTAAGTCCAGCTTGTTTATTTTCTGTTACTTACCGGGCTGGCTCTTCCAAATGACGGCTCACTTGACCGCGGTGCTCTTCCTCTGCTGCATCAGCCCCCACATGTTTTCGTCTCAAATGTTCACTTAGGGACGTCGTGCTTCCGTGCCATGCTAGATGGTTTTTGCATATTTTGCAGGTCACCCGTCTTTTCATGGCATCTAGAGTCAAGTGCTCCCATACTCGTGAGGTTTTTGTCCGGGGTTTCTCTTCAGTTTTGTCACTTCTATTTTTCTTCCGTATTTCTTGTTCCGCCATCTCTCACAGCAAGATGAGCGTCAGTAACGTGATACGTCATGAAAACCGAGGGCACTTATTGTCTCATTTATTTTTCTACGGCTCCACTGGTAGATCAGTGGCTCATTACTGCCACACACTGGCGGCAAATTTAACAGCTTGTAACCGATGTCAGATTGTGGTAAAAATAGACTTTATGCAGTAAAATATGATTATTAAACAACTAATCGATGACTAAAAAAGTTGTTAACTATTTTAATAATCGATTATAATCGATTAAATCGATTAGTTGTTTCAGCTCTATATCTGTCTGAGGTGTGTTTTTGCTGGGTAACTCTGAAGTGCCTTTTTTTCCCTCCACCTGAACCAATCTTCATGTAACCCACACATAAGGTAGCGCGACTCAGGGTTGCGAATGACCACAGTCACCCATTCTTGTCATGTGTCTTGCCCATGTATGTCTGATCTCTGAATTGTGTGTACTGAAACTCTAATTTCCCTCTGGGATTAAGAAAGTATTGATTGAATGATTGATTGATTGATTGATTGATTGATTGATTGATTGATTGATTGATTGAAGACAGAATTTATATAGGGAAACACACACACACACATGCAGCTGACTGGTGATGTCACATCGCGGTTTAACTCCAGGTTATTTAAGGGAACTTCCTTAAACACGGACAGTAAATGGGGAAGTGACGACTCAGCTGTTTCCATGGAAATTAACGGTTTGTGACTCTGTGATCACTCACCTACGCTAAACCAGTCATCGTTTTACTCATTCTCTCCCTCCTGGTTGCCTAACCAGCATTTGTCTCGCCTTTAGTGATTTTTCCCATCACATTTGAACCAACGAACACCCTAAAACAGCCCATGACAACCCCATTACAGCTCTGTGTCCTCCTAGGTTGTGTCTTGACCGTCTGGCTTGTTTGAAGCAGAAAATATTCATTAAATTTTCCCATTCCTTGGGGTGTTCACCTAAGTGTTTTTGTTTTGTAGAAATTCTGGGAACTGGCCAAACAGGTGAGCGACTTCATGACCTGGAAGCAGGTGGAGTGTCCGTTTGAGAAGGACCGTAAGATCCTGCAGTACCTGCTGACCGCTCCAGTGTTCACTGAAGATGGTGAGTTCATGAGTGGATGATTTAGTTCTAGTTCCATGTTTTCCTCAGATTTTAAAAAGAAGACCAACCCAGATCTTTACTGTTGGGAATTATAAATCCACCATCCCTGCACCCGTCCCCACCTCTCTACTGTCCACTCCTTGTTCCCTACTCCCCATGACTGATGTCAAGTTGTTGTTGTTGTTGTTGTTAGCCTCAAGGGCAATATGCCGATTATCGCTTGTAAGTCGCTTTGGTCAAAAGCGTCTGCTAAATACATAAACATAAATCCAGACATGACATTCCAGAAGCTCCTGAACACTTGACACCGGCTCTCTGACAGATAATTTGCTGCTGTGGCCCCCAGACTCTGGACCTTTCTCCCCCTGAGCCTGAGATCAGTGGACTCGGTGGTCTCCTTTAAAAAGCAGCTGAAGACTCACCTGTTCAGGCTTTTGTATGACCTTCTTCACCTCTCTCTCTTTATTCTGCTCTCCCCACCTATTCCACCTTCCTCAGGATCCACTGATTTCCCTCTTTCTTGTTCACTCTCTCTCTTTACATTTTTTTAATCACAATTGTCTATTTTTTGCTCATTTTAAATATATTTTTAACCATTTTCTAAATTTTTTTATTTTTACATTTTTTTGTTTTTGTGAAGCGCCTCGTGCACCTTTTTATCTTTTAGAGGCGCTATAGAAAAGCTATTTGCTTCTTCTTCTTCTCTTATCAGTCTTATAGAAGAGACCCACCGATCTGAGAAATCCTACAGCCATTGAAGCACACCCACTGAAAGGACCAATCAGCTCTGAGCGTCTCCCCTGGTATTCATGTGTCTTCTTCATGTTATCGTTGCAGCTCTGTATCTGGCGTCGTACGAGAGCGAAGGTCCTGAGAATAACACGGAGAAGGACAGATGCAAGTCTCTGAGGTGTGTGAGACTCCTCCTCTTTCTCCTCTTCATCCACACTCGTCTCTATGCCCCCCCCCAGACAGAACTGAAGGGATGTGGGTCATACAGCCGTGCTGACCCCTACTTACACACGTACACACGCACGCACGCACACACACACCAGCTCTTGTTGCTCTTCTCAGTCCTGCGCTGTAACTCTTGTACTTTTGCCTAAAAGACATCAGTCATTTTCACACACCTGCCACACAGTACTTCTTGTGTGTGTGCCTGCTTGTGTGTGTGTGTGCGTGCGTGCGTGTACGTGTGCGTGCACATACGTGTGCGTACATGTAAGTGTGTGTATGTGTGTGTGCGTACGTGTATGTGTGTGCATGCGTGTACGTGTGTGTACGTACGTGTGTGTGCGTTTACGTGTTTGTGTGTGCGTGTACGTGTGTGTGTGTGTGTGTGTGCGAGTGTGTGTGTGTTTAGCTGACCAGACACTTACACATCTGCAGGTATTTAGTGTGTTAAACTGAATCCTTGTAGGAGTTCCTGATAAGACCAGAACAGCTGGAACTCTGACTTGTTGGGTTTACAGCAGCAGCATCCAGTTTGAGCTGCTGCTGCCCCCAGTGGCCAAAAAGGAAAGTGCTGCTTTGGGGCTGATGATTTTTACACAACAGAATAAAAACTACAAATATTAAAATAACATAATTATGATGGAACAGAGCCTTTAGCCTTGATTTTTTTAAACTCTTTTTTTAGAATTTATTTACTTTTCTAGTTGGCAATGTTTGAATTGAGTGCACATTTAAAAACGATTTAAAAACTAAAACTCTCTCCATGCAACAGTTAAAGGGGTTTAACAAGAAGATGCTGGTTACCAGAAGCTGATCCCACACTCTTATCTGGATCAGATCAGCTGTTAGGAGACGGTTTTGGATCTGAAGCTTGAGGACTTGTTTAGTCTCCTCAGCTTGACGCACCTCTGCTAAAGTCCCTCTGGATCGGAGCCTCAGACTGTCTGCTCTAGAGCACACTTCTGGCTGGAAGCTGCTAGAAATCCCCTCAAGTTTAAATTCAGCGTGGTCCTCAGATGCTCACTGCTCTTGTCTCCTTCTCTCTGCAGATCCACTCTGCTGAGCAGAGTCTGATGCTCGGAGGAAACCTGAATGACGAATCGGCGTTCCCAGTCGACGCTGCTGTTGTCCGAACTGAGTATTCCCGTGTTGGAAGGGAAACCGCAATCTCTAAGTGTGACTGGGAGGACCTCCAGAACTGAACCCCGCCTTCCTCCTGCTGTGTATTTGAGGACTGCTGTTTTTCACCTCTTTGTATGACTGCAGTCCTTTTGTTAAAGCCTCCACAGCCCTGGGGGTCGAACGGCGGTTCGGCCCTGATGTTGGAGCTTGTTTCTCCTCTTTGTTTTCATACTTTTTAATTCCACTAAAATAGCTGAAAGTTAGCTGCTGGCTGGCTAACGCGGCATCGATGCTGAACTCTCTGGTTCCACATGCCAGCATTTCTACGGAGAACCGTCACCTGCAACACTGTTATCCTGTTTCTGCCTTTGTCCCGTCGTCGTGTTTGGAGTTTGTCACGAGTCCGAAGCGTTGGCTGTGATGAGTGTGAGGAACGCAGTTTTTCAGAAGAGAACATGATTTTGGTTTCTTGAGGCTGGAAGCATCACTTGTGTGATTGGTGGCCTGTTGTGTGGTCAGTGTCTAGCTAACGGTCTGTGCTGCCCCCTGGTGGCCGAACCGGAGAAGTGATGTGTTCTGAGTGAGTACTGTGAAGTCCCCCGCCCCCCAGGTTAATTAACAGTTTTATTTTTTATATTATTGAGAAGTTAATTTCCCTTCAGTTGTTTTATTTATAAATCTGTGGTCGTGTTGTCCTGATATTACTATTTAATTTTGTACTTGCTGGTACGTAACACGTCTAAATAAGAGTCCTTCTTGGTTGTTTGTCTAAATATTTTTATACACGTTTGTTTGAGACTCAGATTTTTCACGGTACCACGGTATGGTGCGGCTGCACGCTCTGAAGTGAGGAGAGTCCCCCCCCCCCCACCTCCCCACCTAGTGGACACTTATTTTGTGCATTGTCTGAAGTCTGTTGCATATCTGTCTAAGGTGTTTTTTGCATAGCAAAGCTGCCCTCTCTGTCGGGGGTAACTCTGAAGTGCCTTTTTTTCCCCTCCCCCTGACTCTTATCGCCATATAAACCCTCTGGATCTATACGGTAGCGTTACTCGCGTTGCAAATGACCACAGACACCAATTCTTGTCGTGTGTCTATGTATGTATGTATGTCTGATCTCAGAATTGTGTGTACTGAAACTCTAATTTCCCTCTGGGATTAATAAAGTATTTTTGAATTGAATTGAATTGAATAAGAGACTGAACATTGACACTTTTTCATTAATTGTGTTCACGTTTTATTCCCTTCGTGTGTTTTTCTATGTATGTTTAATGTTTAAATGTAATAGAGAAAGCGTTTATAAAATATTTAGTTGTGCTCGAATAAAATTGTTTGAATTTGTCAATTTTTTTTTTCTGAAAAGGAAAATCTTATAGGGGTGGGGTGGGGGGATTGGGCCAAGCTCCTTGTGCAGAGTAGCTCGTGCACCACGGAGCTGTAGGCAAACACAATTTAACATTGTAGCGTAGACAATCTACATACTAGAATTAACGCTCTTTGCTATCAGCTTTGTTAGATTCTGAGAAAGATCAGACAAATTGGTGTATGAAGCTTGTATCATGTATAAATATCCAGGATATTTATACTATCAATAGAAGTTCATACAAGCTGCTTGGTCTATAGTTAATCCAAAGAGTAATTTTTAATTTAAGATAAATTAATAGCAAAAGTTTATTTATTAAACAGAAGACTTAATGGAATCTTTGCTTATTCAATAACCAAACATACACCTTTCTGTGTTTCATTTCAAAGAAGTCAGGTGTAAAAAGTTAAGAATTTCTTACTAACAATTTATAACAGCTTTAATCTTAAAACTTGATATTAAAAGCAAACTAAAGTGGAATGCGTGGGTTTGGATGCGTGGATGAAATCTCAGAAGATTTCTTTCAGAGAGAGAGAGGAACGCGTTCTGGGTGGAAAAGTTATTTTGCAGCCAACTAAGTTGTTTCTTAGAGAGGACAGCATACAGACGCCATCTGTCTGAAGTGTCTATCTCACCCAGTCAGGAGACCCTCTTCTGGATCCGAGATGTCAGGTGGAGATGGTGAACCCCCAAGCACGAGGTGGGTAGAAGGACCTTCGTGCGACCAAATCGGTCCTGAGATGTCTCCGGGTCACAATGACTGATGAAACTGGTTGCGTCTCAAAATCAATAACTCTGAAGGAGTTTTGCGTCATTTGTGCTATCGTGCACAATTCAAAATCCTTGTCTTTGTTTACAATTTCTTCCAGGGTGGTGCTCCCCCCTATCTAGCCACACTCCTGAAAAAACATTCCCCATCACGCGCTCTGCGCTCCTCTGAACAAGGCCTGCTCGCTGTCCCTCGGTCTAGGTGTCGTACTCGTGGGGACCGGGCTTTCTCAGTCCTAGCACCGTCTCTCTGGAACCAGTTGCCACCCTCAGTTAGGCTGTCCCCATCTCTGCCAGCCTTTAAGACCCGCCTAAAAACACACCTCCTCCGCTTGGCGTTTCCTGAACATGTTTGATTCGGCCCTCTTTTACGTTTAATTTCTTTCACAGTTTTCATTGGTTCACTCTATCCCTTGTTTTACCCATCGGTCCTGTACTAGAATGTTTCACCTTTTTTTTGTAATTTGAATTGCTTTTATTTCTGAATTGCTTTTATTTTTGATTTATTCACTATATTTGTACTTCAACTGTACCATGTTCAGCGCCTTGGGCTTCCTGACAGGGTTGCGGAAGGCACTTTATAAATAAAGCTTTGATTGATTGATTGATTGATTGATTGATTGATTGATTGATTGATTGATTGATTGATTGATTGGTCAGCTGGTGCAGGTGGCGTTTATTCGGAGCGATTCTATCGGCGTGACAGAACAGCAGGTGGAGGCTTCAGGGCGGCCGACCCTTATCCTCAGGATGACTCTCGTCGCCACGGAGAGTATCTGGTTGGTTCAAGAACTGGACTTGAGCTGAAGAGTTTTTGGTTTTATTTAAACCTCAGGACACGCCCTCTGAGAGACAGAACGCTTGTTGTTGTGGAGCAAAGACATGTGAGAGCAAGTTACCTTTACCCTGGTCTGTCCCCTCTGCATGGTGTACACAAGTGCAAATGACCTTCTGGTTACTGATCAAACATTACTGATTATCATGAACAATAATTATTATTAACCAAAGAATAATAAGTCGTTTCAGTAATTAAATACATTTATAATGAACCATGATAATTATTTATGATGATTATTTATTAACCTTGTAATAAACAGTAAAAAGAGTTTATTAAAAATGATTATTTTAAATCATGAAGTGTCCTTCATCTGGCGGAGGAACAGCAGACATATAAAAGGCAGATTAAAGATGATTCTAGCAGACTTTACGTCTCCTGTGATGGTTTATCCGTGGACAAAGTACAGCTCGACCTAGCTGGGGAAGTGTGACCTTTGGGTCACAAAATGAGGCCATTCATGTCGCTACAACATAAAAGAGAAACTCCATTTCTGAGACAACCAGATTGAGCAAAACTGACCCTTTACTGATGTGGAGTCGGATTATCAAACTGCTATTTGGTGCCATCTAGTGCTCCAATCAATAATTACAACTGCCCACACTAATTGATCTGAAATGAAAAAACAACAGGGGCGTGTCCAGGGAGTGGCCTGGGGTAGCACATGCTACCCTTGGAATCTGATTGGCCACCCCAGGTGCCAACACACTAATTTACCTTTAAACAAGCTTTTCATTGTCCACAAAAGGCTTGGGGTAAAACAAGAAAAGCATGACCATTGGTGCACAAAGTTGTGCCTCACTTGGGCCACCCCATTTTAAAAGATCTGGACACGCCGCTGAAAAACAACCAGGCTGTAGGCTCTAGTTGCTGAATTAAATCTGAAGGTCGTGTGTACATGTGTCGTAAATGGTAAATAGCTGTATTTGAGATAGCACCTTCTGTAGACCTGGAACCCCCCAAGGTGCATTACAACACAATCTGTCATTCACACACTGGTGGTGATGAGCTACAATGTCGCCACAGCTTGCTCGGGAAGCGCTGACAGAGGTGCAGCTTCTGAGCACCACCAGCGGGAAGGGAGGGTTGAGCGTCTTGCCCAAGGACACAACAGCAGCTCTCTCTGGTCAGAGCTGCGATCAAACCTGCAGCTTTCTGACTACTGGACAACCCGCTCTACCTCCAGGGCTGCTGCTGTGCCTAAATAGTCTTGGTAAAATGAATTTGCAATTATTTTGCGCAATAAAATTCAACCATCCTGCATGTCTCAGGTGACTTGGACTAGACCTGCTTGTCCCTCAAGCACCAGGATGAGAACACACTGGTCCTGTCAGCACAGACGTGGAGGGCTTGTTGGTAAAGGCCGTGATGCAACGCTGGGAGCACGAGGTGAAGCTAATTACTGAGTTTAAAGAAGCATTTCGTCATCGTTCTGTCTGACCTTTCTTTAATCTCTGCGGGAATATTGTGATGAATCAAACCTTTGGTGAATGGGACATGTTCAGCCCTCCCCCACAGCAACCCCTGGCAGCAGGTGTCTGTCACAAAGCTGCTTTGTTGTGAACATGAAAATGCATCCTCCCAGAATCCGGTCGGGCATCAGTGACCTGGATTGTTCAGTGGTGACCCAGCGTCTGCAGATGGACCAGTCGCTGTTTGCTGTCGATGGAATCTGCTGCAGGCCAGGCTGCTGCTCAGAGGCAGACGCACTGGCAAAACCGATTCATCAATTGTGGGTGTGGGGGGTCTGGATGCAGCCTGTTAGGTCCAGACGTGTTAGCTCACAACTGCTAACATTCAATTATGACATTTTCCAGCTGTTATCGCTGCTTAGACTCACTCTGCTCAACATGTGACCCGCATCAGCCGCAGACAGCTGCTTTATTTGATACAAGCACCTAAAACCTGAGCAAGGTGTTTCTTTAGCTTTGACACGGCCGCTGCAAAGTTTAAAAAATGAAAATATCATTTTAAGATACTTTATGCCTTGTTGATCTTCTGGAGTTAATAAAAAAAAGATAAAAAAGTCTCCCCTGTATGGAAAGCCAAGTTCTCAAATAATTCACAGGCTCGTCAAAGCTGATTTAGCCATCATGTTAATCTAGAAGAAAATCAGGCATCATCCCCTCCAATATGGTGCAGAAATAATCCTGAATTAGATAATTATGAGCTTTTTTTCTCAAGTGGTGAGAACGTAGCTAAGTATATTACACAGCACCCACACAGTCACAAATAGATCTAAATACAACATGACCTCAAACAGAAACAGATTAACGTCAGAAAAAACAAAGTAAAACAGATGAGATGATACAAATTTGAGTTAAAAAATAAGAAAATAACATATTTAGGTAAAAGCAGCTTTAAATAAAAGGTCTTCAGCTGTTTTTTGCGTGTCCAGACTGTCAACGCTGCGTAAGGATAAAGGAGATCATTCCAGAGTCGGGGTGCAACAGTCTGGAAGGAACGATCACCTCCAGTTTTGTATCTGGTCTTTGGAACTTCTAGAAGGTTCTGGTGTGTGGACCTGAGTGCTCGGGTTGGAGCATAAGGCTTTAACAGTTCAGTGATATAGGGAGGAGCTTGACCAAGTAGGGGCCTGAAAGTTATAATCAGGACTCTAAAATGAACTCTAAAGTTAACGGGTAACCAGGATGGGCTTCCAGTCTTCAAAATGTGTCATGCAAATACAGCAAGAGGGACGCTAGGGCCTGGAGTCTCATGTTGGTGCAGCAGCAGCACTGTAGTACTGGAGGACGCCACTAGGGGGCACAGTAGAGTAGTCAGACCAGGTAGAAAGCTGGGCTTGTGAGGTACAACAGCAAACACGAAGAGTTCATTTTGACATCATGGCAGAAAAAAAGGAGCCAGTTGCGGTGGCTCGGGCGTCTAGGATGCCTCCTGGACGCCTCCCTGGTGAGGTTTTACGGGCACGTCCAACAGGGAGGAGACCTAAAGGTAGACCCAAGACACGCTGGAGGGAATATGTCTCTCACCTGGCCAGGGAACGCCTTGGGATTCCCCCGGAGGAGCTGGCCCAAGTGGCTGGGGAGAGGGAAGTCTGGGCTGCTGCCCCCGTGACCCAACCCGATAAGCGGCCGAAAAGGGATGGGTGGCAGAAAAAAACAGCAGTTGAACGTAACTAACATGAAAGACCTCTAAACCAGTGTGACTGTGCCTCGCTCGTTTGGTCAACTCCCCCTCCTGGTTACTCGTATATTGCAGCAGTCAAATGCGTCACACACGAGGCAGCCATTTTAAACATGCAAATGCGTCCGGCCCTCAGGCTCCTCCCCCTCTGGTGGGCCCCTGAAAGAGGCTACAAAGTTATTTTCTGGTCTGCCTTACACCCTGGATCCCACACGCGCTAAACTTCACTTTAAAAGATAAATAATCATAATCACATAATTAGCCTGTAAATGTTAGAAGTGACCACAAATCAGACGTGTCACATATGACGTCACGGCAGAATCTCATCTCCCCAGTGTACAGGACATTAAATTAACCCTCTCAGGCTCAAAATAAGTTTTGATAAAAGGACGAAAAACTAAGTCCTCCAGGGAACTTCTGAGTTAAAATGCTAATCAAATACGCATGTGGAGTGACCAGGTAGGTTTTTACCTGCCTGCCTCCAGAGGGTTGAACATATTTTCGTAGTTGGAAAAAATTATAGTCTTTGCTGTCTGATTTTATGATACAACGGCCTGCCATAAGCATGTGAAATCAGCCGGTAGCTGGGAGGGAGCGCGCGGCGCGAGACCCGCACACACGCACGAAAGGATGCGAGTCATGCTGTAGCCGAGCGGACCGGCCCAGCCGTCCCGATGTTCCGGTGTCCGAACAGACCGTTCCTCTGCCTGAGACGTGCTCCGAGCTCATCCCGGGGCTCCCAGACAGGACCGGGTAAGAACCGAACCCGCTCCGGGACCGCGGGCGTTTTCTCAGAGGTGATGCTGGAAGTTGCAGGTGCACGCGCTCTCCATCCCAACATGCGTTTAGTTAGTAAACTAGTTATGCTAACTAGCCGTGACGTGTGTTCTAATCAGAACAGACCGGATGTTTCTAAAGTTTTATTTGAAACGTTTCCGTTTAACTTACGTTGGAGAGACGCGCGCGCGCGCGCGTGTGTTTATGTATGCATGTGTGTGTGTTTATATTTGTATATGTGTGTGTTTATATTTGTATGTGTGTGTGTTTATATTTGTATATGTGTGTGTGTATGTGTGTGTGTGTGTGTGTGTGTGTGTGTGTGTGTGTGTGTGTGTGTGTGTGTGTATATGTTTGTATATGTATGTGTGTGTGTGTGTGTGTGTTTATATATGTATGTGTGTGTGTGCGTTTATATTTGTATATGTGTGTGTTTATATTTGTATGTGTGTGTGTGTGTGTGTATATGTTTGTATATGTATGTGTGTGTGTTTTTTTAAATGTATGTAAGTGTGTGTGTGTGTGTTTATATATGTATGTGTGTGTGTGTTTTTAAATGTATGTAAGTGTGTGTGTGTGTGTTTATATATGTATGTGTGTGTGTGTGTTTATATTTGTATATGTGTGTGTTTATATTTGTATGTGTGTGTGTGTGTGTGTGTGTACATGTTTGTATATGTATGTGTGTGAGTGTTTTTAAATGTATGTAAGTGTGTGTGTGTGTGTTTATATATGTATGTGTGTGTTTTTAAATGTATGTAAGTGTGTGTGTGTGTGTTTATATATGTATGTGTGTGTGTGTGTTTATATTTGTATATGTGTGTGTTTATATTTGTATGTGTGTGTGTGTGTGTGTGTGTACATGTTTGTATATGTATGTGTGTGTGTGTTTTTAAATGTATGTAAGTGTGTGTGTGTGTGTTTATATATGTATGTGTGTGTGTGTTTTTAAATGTATGTGTGTGTTTATATATGTATGTGTGTGTGTGTGTGTTTATATTTGTATATGTGTGTGTTTATATTTGTATGTGTGTGTGTGTGTGTGTGTGTGTGTGTACATGTTTGTATATGTATGTGTGTGTGTGTGTTTATATATGTATGTGTGTGTGTTTTTAAATGTATGTAAGTGTGTGTGTGTGTGTGTTTATATATGTATGTGTGTGTGTGTTTTTAAATGTATGTGTGTGTGTGTTTATATGTGTGTGAGTGTGTGTGCGTGTGTGTGTGTTTATATATGTATGTGTGTATGTGTGTGTTTATATATGTATGTGTGTGTGTGTTTATATATGTATGTGTGTGTGTGTTTTTAAATGTATGTGTGTGTGTGTTTATATGTGTGTGAGAGTGTGTGTGTTTATGTATGCATGTGTGTGTGTGTGTGTGTTTATATGTGTATGTATGTGTGTGTGTGTGTGTGTTTATATGTGTATGTGTGTGTGTGTGTGTGTGCGTTTATATGTGTATGTATGTGTGTGTGTGTGTGTGTGTGTGTGTGTGTGTGTGTTTTAAACATCACAGAATAAATGTTTATGTTATTATTCTGCTAACACTCTAGCAGAGCCCGGTCCAGGCTTAGAGAGTCCTTCCTGATCTTCTGTCCTTGGCTGTGTGGTAACCTCACCATCTCAGCCCAAACGTGTATGTAGAAGAAGGAAGGACCTTTTGTACAGCACCTTTCAAGATAAACATCACCAGGTGCCTGTTTGCGCTGAGATCCCTGGGTTGGGAACCACAGGTCCAGGTGTTTCCAGGTCCAGTTTTAAAATATGAGCAGATTAAAGCATCGGGTTGGGAATGCCCTTTAATATTTGGAAACCTGAAACTGAAGCCTGTGTTTTAGCTTTGTCTGAATTCCCACAATAGAATGACAGAATTACATTTTTAGATGCATTTATACTTATTTTCACCTCATTTTCCACTAATATCAACATCCCATTGAAGAAAAATCCAAACATTTTTGATCATTTTTCTTTATTTTTCTTCTTAATTTTAAAAACTAACAAAAACAAAATGTCAGTTTTGCAAAAACAAAAATCTCTGAAAGTCGATATTTACGGGAGAGAAAACAAAATCTCTGAAGAAAGTTAGTTTTAAGCTGAATTTTCTGACTTTTTTTCTCAGAAGCCTCAGAATAAACAACCAAGGCTGATGTTTGAGGTTCTTTAAACATGACACCAGCACCATCTGGTAGGGTCTTCTCTGGGCTGATTACTGAGGAACCTGCTTTAGATGCTTCAGCCCAGGATCACCCGGTTTCCGGTTTGGAGGCTCGTGAGCTCCGGACCTGCCTCAAAGCCCTGCCTTTTAGCTTGATTGACAGCCGCCTTTTCCGCCTCATAATCAGTTTGTGCAGCAAGATTCAAACACGAAATGGGAGAGAGTCAAAAATGCCAGAAGGTGTCTTGGTTAGCAGGACCTGCGGAAAGTAGTGGGAAGTCAGGACTGTCCCACAGAAAGCAGGAGCCTTGGCCACCCTACCTGCCGCGCATCAGCCACTCGGGAGGCTCAGAGCCGAGTCTGGGAAGGTGAGCAGGGTCGAGCCATCTCTGAGACAGGAGGGTTGGTGTATGTTTTATTTTAAAATATAATATTTTATGGTTTTAAATATTACTAATGTGTTAAAAACACAAACAGTAGAAATGAAAAGATCATTTAAAAAAGTAAAACTTTTCCCAAAACAGGCTCGAGACGCATTTGCTTCTGATCCCGACGCTCCGCTTCTCCCCGACCCTTCCACTGCTCCTGTAATCCAACACTTCCTGCCTCATGAATAATAAACGAGAAGATGCTCGTTCACATTTATGAACTGGACTTCCTGTCTGCCTGCTCCGTTTCCTCGCAGCATCAGCTGTTTTGTTGAACTTCTCACTCAGACCTTTTCTTTCCTGACCTAAATGTCTCGCTGCTCTCGTCTCCATCCTGACTTTGTCTCTCGTCCACTCAGGTGAGAAGATGGGTAACGAATCGATGAAATCAAAGCGTTGCAAACACGCCGAAGGCTCAGCTTTAGCTTCCAACGGCCAAGTCCAGAAAGATCCTCGTGGCGGGATCAAGAACTTGTCGGTGGATTCCCTGAGGGCCGAGGTGGAGGAGCTGGAGAGGGAAGTGAAGAGGAAGGATGAAGAGCTCAGTGCCAAAGAGCTTCAGATCAAAGGTCTCCAGGAGCATCTGGCCAAGCAGACGCAGGCTGTGTCTGAGCTGAGTGAGGAGCTGCAGAGCAAGTGCATCCAGCTGAAAAAGCTCCAGGATGTGATGAAGAGTGGAGCCCCAGCCGGGCTCGCTTCAAGGCCCCCCTCTGTTAAAGCCAGCAGCAGGAGCAGCCCCAACCTTAGCGTTCGCATCAAAGAAACCTTAAACCGAAGGAAAGGCGCCAAAGCCGGGGTGTCGGCCGAACCCACGTCCAGCAGCCTCCCAAAGTTCTCCTTCGAGAAGGCTCGGGTACCCAAGGATGCCAGGTGAGATGGCGAGGCTCGGCCCACGCAGAGATTTACCTTCACAGGTTTGGTTTACGTTAGCAGCATCCATGTTTAGAAGAACTCGGCAGGAACCCGTAAATCACAGCAACACATTTCTGATGAACCCAACAAAGGCAGGTTTTAACTCCC